TTTCTGCTGGACCAGAACCTGAACACATGGTGTTTACTCCAAAGTCATTACTGGCCAAGGGGACTGGCTTGGCTGACTCATGGAGCATCCACAGGGTTGGGGCATAGACTCAGCTCTCCTAACACCCAGAAACCGTGTTCTTCCCACAGGCCTCTACCACTATCAGACCCTTGGGTCACAGAAAACAAAACCACGCACAGCAACGTGGACCAGCACCAGGCCTCCATGTACCTGGCAGCTCTGAATTCAGATTTGCCAAGTATGGGCATAGCCGCTGGTGTCGGAGAGGGAGAAATGGGGCGGGTTGAGTATGGTGGGCAACAGTAGTGCTTTGTGAGAGCCCCCTTACAGAGTCCCAAAAGGACCGGCTTCAAACAAGAAATGTATTCCCTCAGGGGCTGGAGGCTAAAAGGCCGGTCATTACCCCACACTGAGCCCCACCATTCTGAGCTCACTCTTGGGAAGGGGGTCTCAGTTGTCTCCTCCATCCAACAGGAACAAAATAACCCCAGTGCGCCCCCTCCCAGGCCTCTGCAGGAGCCGCTCCCTCTGCCTGGAGCACTTCCCTATCCCACCCCCCATCTGACCAGGCTTCCTGATTTAAGATTTTATTTATTTATTAGAGAGAGAGAGAGAGCACAAGCAGGGGGGAGCGGCAGGCAGAGGGTGAGGGAGAAGCAGGCTCCCCGCTGAGCAGGGGAGCCGGATGCGGGACTCAATCCCAGGACCCTGGAGTCATGACCTGAGCCGAAGGCTTCCTAGGCTTCCTGAAATCTCTACCTCGCTGTCCCGTGCCCCCCAGAGCCTCCCCTCTCCCGGGGCCTGGGCGGTGCCCCTGCTCTGCTCACCGGTCTGTGGCTCCCAAGACACTTGAAGTCCACGAGGGCAGTGACCCCTGTGCTCCCAACTCCCAGACCATTAACCAGTCTTGGGCTAGGTGAATGCATCCGTGAGAGCCCTGGTATAAAGGCCAAGCTTCCCCACCCTGCCCCCCTCCCAGGGGAAATTCCTTCTTTTGAAAGAACTGGAGGCGGAAGAAAGGAGCAGTGCTAGGACGGGCTCCCATCAGGCCTCCCAAGCTGGCATTTGCCAGGCATTCCCTGGGTTTTACCCCCAATCCCAGAGCGGGGATGGCCATGGGCATGGGGATGGCCAGGGAGGGCAGTCTTAGGCCCTTGGGGAGGAGCCCCAGGGGCAAGTCACAGAGACGCAGCCCAGAGCCACAGAGGAGTGACAAGGAAGTCGGTGGGCTCCTCACCTGCACCTCTCCAAGGAGACCCCAGAGATTTCCACATATAACCTGTGACGGCACTCCCTGACCCCCTGTCTCAGCCCCCAGTTCTCTCCACCCAGACTTCTGGCCTTTTCCACAGTCGGAGAAACAAGTCTGCCGACTACACTGCAGTAAAAAGTGAATTCATTTACAAAGGAAAAAAAAGAAAAACAAAACAAACTTGGCTCCACCCCAGCTGGCTTCCTTCTCCCTCTGTCTGTCTGTCTTCTTCCTGCCCTCAATGTTTCAAAATTGCTGTAAAATATACACAAACAAAATCGACCATTCTTACCATTTGTAAGTATATCATGCAGTGGCACTGAGTACACTGACGACTTGTGGACGAACGGGTTTGCCCAGGCTGCTCACCCAGCAACCGTGTCTTTTCACATTCCCACCAGGAATGCGCTGGGGTTCCCCTTCTCCACATCCCCACCGACACTTGGCATGGCCTGCTTTTTAATAAGAGCCATCGTAGGGGCGTCTGGGTGGCTCAGTCGGTTAAGCGTCTGCCTTCGGCTCAGGTCATGACTCCAGGGTCCTGAGATTGAGTCCCGCATCCGGCTCCCTGCTCAGCGGGGAGCCTGCTTCTCCCTCACCCTCTGCCTGCCGCTCCCCCCTGCTTGTGCTCTCTCTCTCTCTCTCTCTCTAATAAATAAATAAAATCTTAAAAAAATAATAATAACAGCCATCCTAGAGGGTGTGAAGGATTTGCTCCAGGCCACTGGACCTTCAGTAGCCCAGGACCCTCTGCAGGCACCATCAATTTGACTGGAGTGTTTACTCTTCGCTTCTCCACTGTTCCACCACCAGTGACCCAGCTCTGATCTCCCAATTCAAAGTCCAGTTGGCTCCTCCAACCCTGTGGATTGAACCTCTTTGGGGCAGGTGTCTAGCCCTGGTGCAGCTGGCTCTGGGGGTGTGAGGGGGTAGAGGGAGGCGGTCCACGGGCCTTCCAATTCCAGGAGTGTGGTGAGGCCACCTTTCTTTCTTTCTTCCTTCCTTCCTTCTTTCTCTCTCTCTCTCTCTCTTTCTTCCTTCCTTCCTCTCCTTGTTAACGTCTTTTTCTCTCTCTCTTTTTTAAGATTTCATTTATTTATTTGAGAGAGAGAGAGAGAGCAACTGGGGGGAGGGGAAGAGAGAGAGTGAGAGGGAGAAGAAGAGTCCTTGCTCAGTGGGGAACTTGACTCAGGGCTCCATCCCAGGACCCCAAGACCCTGATCTGAGCTGAAGTCAGATGCTTAACTGACTGAGCTGCCCGGGTGCCCCACGAAGCCACTTTCTTGCTGCGGGCAGGCGCAGTGGGGACCGAGGCCAGCTGTGGACACAGTGCTACGCAGGAAGCCTGAGTGGCAACAGTGTGATCACCAGAGACTGGCCCGCAGAAATGACAACTGTCCACACCCCGGGGGGAGCCATCCTTATCAACAAACTATAGTTCATGAGCTCCCAGACCCTGGGATGGCTAATAGTGTTTGGGTTTGTTTGTTTGTATATTTGTTTTTCCCAGAATGATTTTCTTTTCATTGACAGTGAGAAATAGATGGGCCAGGAGGACAGGGGACAGATCTGTACAGGCTCTCCCTACATCCACACCCCATGAAAAGCCAAACTTTGATCAGAAACTGTGCCGACAGTGGTGTTGGGGCAAGGGGAACCAGAGACCCATCCCGGGGACCATGATCAGGGCACCTCCTTCCCCTCCAGGGCCGGGGCTCTCTGCAATGGCTGGCTTTCTGTGTATCTTTTATCTTATGCTCATGGATGACAATTCGCAGCAGTGGGGAGAAGCCACAGACCTGCTATCCAGGAAACCTCACGAACCACTCAGTTCTGTGTTCACTGGGCTGGATGTGAGACAAAGCTGTCTGTCCGACTCCATTCCCCCTGCCCCGGGCGCTCGGGCACGTTGCATCTGCCAGCCTGCCATGTGGTTCAGCAGGAACCTGTGCCTGAGTTCTGGACATGAGCTGAGGGCACAGATGATGGACAGCCCTCCTCAGCCCGGCCTCGAACCTCCCTCATGTCTTCCGGGCTTCCTCTCTGTGCCCTGCTGGCCAGAGGCAGAGGATCCCGGGGAGGACTCCCAGCCCTGGGGGATGGCGGCCAGGCAGACAGAGGAGCCGGGCCCCTGAACGACCTTGTAAATCAGATCCTCCCCCTCACCCAAGACAACCTGCTCTGTCCTGGGATGGGAGTGAGAAACAAGCATGTGTCCTGGGAAGCCACTGGCCTCGAGGGCTCCGTGTTACCTCTGTGACACTGCGCTGACCAGCGCACCCTGGAGACAGCCGTCCCCAAATCCTGCACTGCTGCTTGGTCAGTCCTGACTGCACCCAAACCGGCTGCGTCCAGCTCGGCTGTTCCCCACTTAGTGACCCACTAGCACATTCCGGTCCCACCTTCCTGGCTCGTGCCAGGTCACCCTGCTCCCGATCTGTGGTCGCACATTCTCTTACAAGGGCTTGAGCCAACAAACTGCACGGATCGCTGGGTGACCTCCAGCGTGTCACTTGACCATCCCATGTGCAGTGGCACTAACTCCAGCCCCCCAACGCCATGAGGATCGGGGCGCCTCCTGGAGCTCAGAGCCCGGGAGCCTCCGCAGCAGAGGGCGCCTCCGTCACCAATGCACTCATCACCAGCTGGTGACAAGGAGCTAAGGCTCTACTCCTTGCACTCACAGAAGTGTCCTCCCCTGGGCAGGTGGCGAGCTTGTCCCAGGGCGTGCCCTGCCAGTGGGGCCTGACCCTGGAGCCTACCCCTGCCAAGGACACTTCCTTCCTCCTGGACCTCCAGCGGTGGCCCGCCCCGGCCCAGGAGGGGCCCCCAGGGGACAAGTGGGCTGCTCAGGAGCCACTCTGGAAATCTTGTCCCTACATCCTTGTCTCACACTCCTGGGGCACTTGGGGTTTTGTTTGTTGGTTTCATGTAAATGCTCTTCTGAGGAATGACAATCCTGTGTCCACAGAACCAGAGGAGTTTTCTAGGGAAGGATTAGGAGAGGGTGGGAGGTAGGTGGCCTTGGAGGGTCCCAGGTTTGCCCCTCCAGGGCTTGCCCTGGGTCAAGAGCTAGGCAGAGGGGCGCCTGGGTGGCGCAGTCAGTTAAGTGACCAACTCTTGGTTTTGGCTGAGGTCGTGAGGTCTCAGGGTCATGAGATCAAGCCCTGCATTGGGCTCCATGCTCAGTGCAGAGTCTGCTTGGGTTTCACTCTCCCTTCCCCTCTGCCCCTCCCCCTGCTCCCTTTCTCTCTCTCTCTCTCTAAAATAAATAAAAAATCTTAAAAAAAAAAAAAAAAGAGAGAATGAGAGAGAGCCAGGCAGGAAGCTCTTGAGAGTATTGCTCAAGAATAAAGGACGCCTGAGGGGCTGGGAAGTAATAGGGCTCATTCTGGCTGCCCTGCCCTGCCTCTGTTTCCCCCCCGCCCATAGCCCAGAGAGATGGGACAGATGTGGACACTCAAAAGCCCCCTGCTTGCAGGGTCCTAGGAGTCCAGGCCCATGGGACTTAGGGCAGGAGGAGAGAGGGAGCAGGAACCAGGCATCAGGCAGGAAATGGGGTGGGGGGTGGGGAGGAAGCTGGTAGAGTGTCACTGCTCAGAAGAGGCAGGGATCAAAGCACCTGGAGGGCTCTCCAGGACAAAGGCAAACACCGAGGTCCCTGCCGCCCCCACAGAGCCCGGCACCCCCCGCCCCCGGCCAGGTATAAGGGCCCCCGGCCCAGCAGGGGATCCAGGCTGTGGAGGTGCCATGGCCAAGTCCCAGCAGCTGCTGTGGCTACTGCTGCTATCCACGCTGTGCGGCGCAGGCGCAGGTGAGTCTCCCCAGCCTCTCCTCAGCTCCCTCTCTCCCGGGGCCAGGTGTGGAGGAGGCTTCCCGTCCGCCTCCAGGCGCACTGACCTCCGGCCCTGAGCCAGGCGTTACCCCTAGTCCGTAGGAGCTGAGGAAGCTGAGGCTCTGAGCGGCTCCCGCGCTTGTCCAAGGTTACACACCCTGGGGTGGGGGTGGGGTGCATAGAGCAGGTGGGACCCTGCTCCATCTGACTCCAGCACATTTAAGGGCCAAGCGCTCCTGGTAAAATTAGGTTTGGAGGTTGGGTGAAGTCAGAGTGCCAGGTGTGGCCTAAATCCCAAGGTTGCTCTGGCCCCAAACTGCAGCTGACTGGACCGCCTCGTCCCTGGCTTGTGCCTGGGGCCCCGAGTTCTGGTGCCAAAGCCTGGAGCAAGCACTGCAATGCAGAGCCCTGGGGCACTGCCTACAGGAAGTCTGGGGCCACGCAAAAGCTGTGAGTACCTCCCGTGGATGCACCGGGACTGGAGGTCTGGCATAGAGCGTGCTGGGTGGCCTCTGCATGGGCCTGAGGGGATTCAAGCCCCCGCTAGGGGATGGGATAGGTTGGGATAGGATGGGATAAGATGACATGGATGGGTTGGGATGGGGGGTAGTCGCCTGCGCCTTGGAGCGCTCTGTCAGCCTCACACACCTGAGCTGGGAGCATGGCCCGCCCCCACTCAAATGCCCCACCTTGGGGCCCCCTCCCCAGGATGACCTGTGCCAGGAATGTGAGGACATCGTCCACAGTCTCACCAAGATGATCAAGGAGGCCATTTTCCAGGTAATGAGGCCCAGATCCTGGATGAAGCTTGGGGGCCAAGAGATGGGGGACAGAACAGGGCACAGAGGTTAGCCCCCTAAAGAGGCCATCTCCAGGCCGAGAGTGAGACGTGGGTTTGCCTGGGGACTCCAGGAACCTCCTGGCCAGGAGAAGGTCTTGGGAGTGAGCCAGAGATGGTATCTCCTAAGGGGGAGGATCCTCCCTGTAGCCAACTACTGAACCCCTTGGCACTCTCTCAACTCTGGTGCCCTGGGAGAGGGTGGCCAGCCTGCCTGGTGGCGGTCCTGCCTCCAGGGACTCGGGCGGGCACAGACCTCAAAGAGACCAGCCTGACTGTCTCCTCCCTGCCTCCCAGGACACGATGCGGAAGTTCCTGGAGCAAGACTGTGATGTTCTGCCCTTCAAGCTTCTCGTGCCCCAGTGCCATCACCTGCTTGACACCTACTTCCCAGTGGTCGTCAACTACTTCCAGAGCCAGATCGTGAGGGCCCGGCCACCTTGCCTCCAGCCTGCCTCCCTGACAGCCCCCATGTCCAGCCACACGCAGAGTAACCCACACACACTACGCCCCAGCCCCACACACATACACACACACCCTACCCGTGACCAGTCCAGGAGACACAGTGGCCCACAGCCACATGGCCCAGATCACAGCCCTACCTGCTCAGCTGTCCTGAGTGGGTCCACACAATGGGTTTACAAAACCCCCACTACACACCCTCACACCCTTCACACTCACGTACACTCATTCATACACTCATACCACACACTCAGTCTCATGCAGAACCCTCACCATCACATACTCACACATACAAACACACTCTCACACCCATGCTTGCACTTATCCATTCTCACAAACACACATGCTTGTGCTCATTCACACACATCCCCAGACACCCGCCCGAAGACCCCACACAGCCCCACCTCTGCCTTTTGGCTCCCCCCACCCTCACCACAGAACCCTAAGCCACAGCCCCCATCCAGCCTGCTGCCCCTCATTCCAGGCCCAAAGCCAGAGGTCTTAGTGCAAGCCCTTGAGCCAGGCTGGGCAGGAGTGGGTCCCCTCCCACACCCTGACCACTCCCTCACCCTGCATTGTGCCCTAGAACCCGAAGGTCATCTGCAAGCACCTGGGCCTGTGCAAACCTGGGCGTCCAGGGCCAGGGCAGGAGTCAGGGCTGTCAGACCTGCTGCCGGAGAAGCTGATCCTCCCCGGGCTGCCAGGAACCCTCCAGGTGAGGGCTGGGCCTCACACCCAGGTGACAGAGGGCCCTTGCACTGCTGGCCCCTCATACAGATAGGTGGGATTCCAGACAGCGACGCCACAGCCAAGGCCCATAAGCACTTGCCCTGGAGAGAGCAGAGCCAGCAAGGGGACAAGAAGCTCTAAGCAGGGCCTAAAGCAGGGAAAAGGGGAAGAGAAGGCAGGGGAGGTAGGGCCTGGAGGACGCCTTCTCCCAGGGCCCAGCCCAGCCTCACCTGGGGGTGATTCTCTCCCCCAGGATCTCTCTGAGCCTCGGCTGCCCATCCCCCTCCCCTACTGCTGGCTCTGTAGGACTCTGATCAAGCGGATCCAAGTTGTGATTCCCAAGGTGAGACATCCAGGAATATGAGGAGCTCAGCAGGGCCCTCCACAGCTCCACCCTCCCCTCCCCTTCCTCATACCCCTGTCAGGGGCCACACACGGGACCCCGGAGCTCAGGTTCAGGCACCGTGGGTGCCAGGCCTAGAGTTCATTCAACAATTGTAAAGCCCCCGCTATTACATGCCAGGCATTGTGCCAGGCGTCAAAGAATAAAAATGAACAAGACCTCGGTCTTGTCCACCAGCAGCTCATCATTGGATGGCGAAGAATCCCAGTTTGCTTGTTTGTTTAGAAAGAGTGCACACAAGGGAAGGGGGGGTTGCGGGGGTGGGGGGAGGGCGAGGGAGAGAATCTTAAGCAGGCTCCATGCTCAGCGGGGCGCCCAGCGCGGGACTTCCATCTCACCACCCTGAAATCAAGACCTGAGCCAAAATCAAGAGTTGGACACTCAACCGACTGAGCCCCCCAGGCGCCCGGACGAGTGCGGCTTTTAGCGACAAAGGCCATCTTGGCACGTTTGTGTGCCGATGGGACTGGCCAGCAGATGGGAGAAGCAGTGAGGTGGGGAGAGAGGACAATGCAGGGTAACGTACTTGGGGTGGGGGCGGGGGTCCAGGGCACGAGTCGATGGGCTGGCCTTGGGCAAAGCAACCACCGTTCCTCTGTCAGCGAAGTGGGGAGGTTAGGCGAGTGTGGGAGGTTCTGACACAAGCAGGTGACATGCACAAGCATTTGGTGAAACGTACCCGTTTGGAAGGTAGCGCACCCGAGACATACAATTCACTGTGTCGTGCGCCCACCTCCACCTTCCCAGCAATGGGGGACGGGGCGGCCGCCAGCCGTGGCAGACCCAAGGCCAGCCAGCGCCGTGCAGGTTCTTGACACGTGCTGGTTGAATGAATGAAGAAAGGAGGGAATGAGCCAGAGTGCTTGTCACCTCTGCCTCTCTCCTTGCCCTTCAGCTAGGAGGTGGAGTTTGGAATCGGGGTGGGCTGGGGAACCTCCTCGCTTCCCCCAGGTGTTCCAGGAGCCACAGATGAAAGCTGCCGCCACTGCAGGGAAATGTGGCAAGCCCCGCATGTGCAGGGGGAAGCCCCAGGTCCGATCACCGTGTGGCCCGGCGGACGGCCACCCGTCTGGGCTGGCCACACTCCTTCCCACAGCCCCAGAGCCTGTGGACACCGAGCTGGGATGGCGGCCTGGCCCCTGCACTCACTTAGTGACTCTGGCGGGGCCCCTCGGACTCTCGGATGCCCAGCATCCTTATCTGTAAACAGCGTACTCATTCCCCCTCCCAGAAAGGCGCAGGGTCAAACTACGAGATGCCCGCAGGTGCCGGGCACGGCGTAGACCTTGCCGGGGCAGGTCCCATCGTGCCCTGTCTCTGCCCCCGCCCCAGGGTGTGCTGGCCATGGCTGTGGGCCAGGTGTGCCATGTCGTACCCCTGGTGGTGGGTGGCATCTGCCAGTGTCTGGCTGAGCGTTACACCGTCCTGCTGCTGGACGTGCTGCTGGGCCGCGTGCTGCCCCAGATGGTGTGCGGCCTGGTCCTCCGGTGCTCCAACGGCGCTGGCCCCGGTGAGCCTGCGGCCCCCGCCCCTCCCCAGCACCCACCCTCCTCTTCCCTGCCCCCTCCCCTAGGCCCTGCCCCGCCCCCACCCCCACCCCCGGTGCCCCCTGCACTGCGCCAGTCCGGACTAGAACTGAGCACCTCTGCAGGGCAGGCTTGACGGTTCTCTCTCCCAATCCTCACAGCTCTGGAGTCCCTGCCCGGAGAATGGTTACCTCAAGAGTCCGAGTGCCACGTCTGCATGTTCGTGACCACACAGGCCGGGAACAGCAGCGAGCAGGCCATGCCGCAGGCAATACCCCAGGCCTGCCTCAGCTCCTGGCTGGACAGGCAAAAGGTGAGGGACGGGCACGCGGGGGACTTGGGGCCCTGGGCCTGCCCCCAGTGGAGGGGGGAGCCCGGCGGGAAAGGCTTCCCCGTCAGAGACACACAGAGTGGTCCGACCCCTGCCCTCGAGGAGCTCAAACAGGCAGGACGTGGGCCCAAAAACCGTGGAAAAAATAACACAGGGCAAAACCTGCCAAGGTCAGGGGTCGCCTTTGGACAAAGGGCATGGGCCCCAGAGGACCTGCAGGCCTCCCTCACGGACGAAGACTAAGGCCCAGTTATCACGCCATGCCCACGGGAGCAGGAGAGGGCCTGGCCTTCTCTGCAGGGTCCCCGTCCTGTCCTCGCCCCATCCCTCTCTCAGTGTGACTCACCGGGGACACACCCACCCTCGGAGAGGGCTGGGCTTAAAGGCTCTAGAGTCCCAGGACTCAGAGTCCCTACAGTGAATTCCCTTCACAAAGTCAAGTCCTGAGGCAAGCCTACTGATGACCTGCCAGGGAGGCAGCGTTCTGCATGGCACTCCCCTGCTCCAGGATGTGCAGGGCTCCCCACTGCCCACCACATCAGGTTGCCAAGCCCAGAGGAGCTTGAAGATTTCTAGACCTGAAATTTGGGAGGATGGGAAGCGGTGGCTATGATGCAGGCCCCGCGCGTGAGCTGCGAGCCCCTCCATCTCCAGTGTCCCTGGCTTTCCCAACAGAAACCCTCCATTTCAGCCCACACCAGCCTGTTCACAGCCGGAGCTGCTTGCTGGGGGCGATGGCTGGAGCTCCACCGGGTCAGGAAGGAGCGCTGGAGTGACGCAGATAAGGGGAGAGTCCTGCAACGGGCCCAGTCCCCCCCCCCACACACACCTATTTCTTTCTCCTTCCTCAGTGCGAGCAGTTTGTGGAGAGGCACACACCCCAGCTGCACACCCTCATGGCCGGGGGCCGGGATGCCCACGCCACCTGCCAGGTACTCTTACCCTCCCGGCTGGTGCCAGGACTTTCCTCAGCTCCCAGAGCCCCCACCCTCTCCGGTCCATGATCGGCAGAGGCCCCACTCCTCTGGGGCCAGGGCAACCCCAGGAGTGCAGGCCCAGGATGCTATTTTAACATGGGTCAAGGAAAAGCCACAAAAGAATGGACAAGGAGACATAGGAAAGGAGGGGGCAGCTATAAGGAGTGTGGTCTGATGCACATTAGGGAATGGCGGGTGTTCGCTGAGCAGTGTGTGCTCGGCAGGAGCTGCCAAGTGGGTGTTCTGGGGCAAGAATCCCACCTCCTCAGGCTCCAAACCTAGAAGGCCCATGGCTCAGGCGGTCTACAAGGTCACACCAAGAACACCCACCAGATGGCAGGCAAAGTGAAAGCTGCCCCTTCCAGTAGGAGCTTCCCATCCCCCTCAGAGCTGGGAAAGGGGAACAGGATCCAAGGCCTCTGGCCCTAACTCTGTCCCTATGGCAGGCCCTGGGCGCGTGTAAGACCACGTTCAGTCCTCTCCAGTGTATGCACATTCCTCAGTTCTGACGAGAACTCAGAGCCATGCCAGGTGAGTCTGGGCTCCCAGTTGAGGGGAAGAAGAGGTAGAGGGGTCGTGTACCCATCGGGACAGGGGGCCCTGTGTTCCCCAAGCAGGAAGAGGTAGTCACTGCTGCTGGTTGCCCCATCCTCCCCTTCATAGGCCACAACTCAAGGCTCCTGAGGGCCCCTCACAGCATCATCTCAAGAATGGCCTCTCTCACTCCCTCTCCTCAGAATCCCGCCACCCCTGGGGCTAGGCCCAGCTCCCACCTCCCTCACCTTGTCCCAGGCCTCAGGGGGAGCTGCAGCTCACCCTCTGCACTCACTGATCTTCAGTATTTGACGTACCAAGGCCAACCTTTCCGGAAGTTCGGGGGAAATCACGCTGTGCTGCACAAAGATGTTGTCCCCTTAGAAGCCAGGAACTCTACCATCATCTGACTCCTCCTTCCTGAGACACATTTCTCTCTTCCTGACTGTCATTGTCTAAGTCAGAGGTAGCACCTTAGGATGGAGGGGCAAGTCAGATGCCGCCCCTATGACCAGGGCCCTCAGGCCAGGGAAATGACCCTGAGAGGGACAGACATAGCAACTGTGGGCTAGAAGTGTCCCTGAGAGCAAACTTGGCCCACTTCACCATTCTGCCCGGAGCCAGACTCTAACACCCCATGTGTTAGGTGTGTTCACTCATTTTTTAAAAAAATGTAGTGGGTGCCTATGGCCAGAGTGCGCTTTAGGGGCAAGGTCTACAGCTGTGAAGAAAACGATGAACCCCATGCCCTCCTGGCACTCAGGCCCCAGGGTCCGACTCTTGCATCTGAGTGGGGCAGCCCAGGCCTGCTTCCGAATCTCTCTAGAATTATAAGCCCCTGTGGGAGGCAGTGAGGAGGAAGTGTCCCCCAACTCAGACCTATCCCACAGGGACCAAATTCATGTTTTCCCTCCACCCTGATGACAGCTGGGGGAACCTAGGGGCCGGGAAGCTGCCCAGGAGACCAGGGCAGCCTCCTTTCCCCAGCTCCTAAGGCTTCCGGCACCAGAAAGAGCCAGGCCTTCCATCCCTGTTGGAACAGGAAAAGCAATGGATTGGCCCAGGGGACCTGGGCTCTGGTCCTGACTCTGCCGTCAACTGCCCCTGGGTTCTCCAGCCAAGATACATTGCCCCCTCTCTGGCTCTCATTCTCCTCAGCAGCAAAGGGAGATCGAAAGAGGTGGTTTCTCCTCCTCAGGCTCCCTGCCCTCTGCCCACACTGGGAAGCCTTCACTCCCACAGTCACCTTCCCCATCTCCTTTAAGCTGATGGACCATGAGCCCGCAGCTTGTGACCTCAGTCCTGTTGTCAGTCTTACCTCTCCTGTCTCTAACCACAGCCCAAAGCAGAGCCACTTTCTTCCTCTCCGGGTGTGAGGAGCAGCCAGGGCAGCATCTGCTGGAGGAGATCTGTAAGAGGCGGCTTCCGGCCCGGGGACTTCCGGCCAGACTTCACACACCCCACTGGAGCCAGCCCAGCTCCCACAACACCCCCGGGCTGGGTCCTGGGGAACTCGTCAGCCACACACTCCTTCCCTGGCTCCAAGAGGACAGCCTGCCTCACTTTCATCTCCATGTGCATAAGATATTGGCTTTTACAGTGGTTTTGCCAATACTTTCACAAAACTCAAATTCAGAAGAATAAAAAAAAAAAATGGGAACATCAAGTACCATAAAAGATAGATATATGAAGTCAAACTTTAAAAAAAAAATCAGGAAATCCATGACTTGTCAAGAATGGACGCGGCAGGGCTCAAGCAAGGTGGGAAGGTGATTGGACAAACTTTCATATTTGAGATGTTCTCCGGCTTAAGAGCTATCACTTTAAGATGTAAAAAGGGGTTTTCTTTTTATCTTTTTGTAAGGCAAGCTTCCTCCAAGTTTTGGTTAAAATTCCAGTGTGATTCCATTTCTGCTATGATTTATCTCCTCAAAGCTCAGTTGGGGCACGTGCTAAAAATCAGTTCCTATGTAATCCAATGCCTGTAACAATACCAATAAAGCCTACTGCTTCATACTAAAAGGAAAAAGACAGTCATTGAAAATGCCCCCAAAGCCGCAGCCTCGTGCGGCTGGACTGGGCAGCAACATCACTCTCCTCCTTGAGGGAGAAGTAGGCGTCCACGGGGCTGCCCCTGCCCCGTAACTGCTTCCCGCCCCGCCCCCTCCCCTCTCCCAAAGAGCCCACTCATGGGGATGAGATGAGGTTGTTAGGGTACCCAAAAAATCAAAATGTACAACAAAATTAAATAAACCTTTATCTTTAAAGACCTAAGTGCCTGGAAGTGTCCCTTTATTTATAAAAGAACTTTTGTTACTATATGTCCTATTATGAAAGAAATACATGTTTATTATAGAAAATTCAGAAACTGCAGGTCACAAAGGAGTGGAAATCACCCACAATCCTACCAATCCCAGGAAAGGATTAGAGCAGGATGTATACTTTGGCACTGAGCTACAGACATTTCCAATCCATTTTCCCCACATCTCCACCATTCAAGCTCCACGAAAAAGCTTTCTATACAACGTGCTCTTGGGGGTAAGGATGTTGGACACAAATCCTTAGCCTCTGAATTTGAACTTGTAAGTGAATTTTTGTAAATCTATAGCAGACTATTGTCTTGGAAACCATTATTTCGATTGTAAGGTCAAGATCCCCGAGAGAAGAGCGTTTTAAATTTTTTAAAAGCTTGGCTGGGAAGATGACGAGACAGAGCCTGGAGGTGAGGCAAGCATGGGGATGAGCTCGTGAGGATGGAAGAGAAGCTTTCACTCAACAGGAGGGCAGGAGTGGACCAGCTACTGGGAGGAGAGAATTGCAGGAAGCGGCTACGGCTGAGACTCGGAGAGTCCCTGAGACATGCCCAGCAACCTGCACCCCCAGAGCAGGGTGGGAAAGGAGAAGCCCCAGGAGGTGTGAGGGCCAAAGAGCAGAGAGGGCTTGTTCTTCACTTTCCAGGGCATGAGAACACAAGTCCCTTAGAGAAGGCTGCCTCCAACATGACATTAGAAAGAGTGCAAAACACAGCCTTCAAGAGGAGCCTAGCAGACAGGCCTGAGGACAGCCTCAGAGGGTGCCCCCTGCATGATGCAGAAGAGCAAGCACACCCCTAGGGCCCAAGAGGCCGTCAGAATCAGCTCTGCACAAAATGGGGGGCCCAAAAGAGCCTATGATTGGGGACAAAGCACTGACAGATTTCATGCACCTTGAGAGGAGCAGAAGTCAGATCTGACAGCCCATCCCAGCACAAGGAGAGGGGAACCGAGAGGACCAGGGAGAGCCCAGTCCCCAATACCTCTCCTCACGACAGGGCACTTTGTCAATCATTCCCAGAAAAAATGAAAGTAGGGTTCAGTCGTTAGTAACCCAAGAGGGGCTGAGTATTAAAAGAAGGGGCTGGGTGCCTGGGTGGCTCAGTCAGTTAGGCGGCTGACTCTTGATTTCAGCTTAGGTCATGATCTCAGGGTCATGAGATTGAGCCCTGCGTGGAGCTCTGTGCTGGGTGTGGGGTCTGCTTGGGATTCCCTCTTTCTCTCTCTCATAAACTGTTTTTTTTAAATAAATAAAAAAAAAGAAGGGGCTCAATCACTTTCGAATGGAAATATTATATTCTGGGGGCTTAAGAGCCCAAATGAGTTCAATTATAAAACAATAAAGACAGTTACTTTCATGTCCCCCTGATTAATGAGTGAGATTTAAAATCCACAACACATCATTGTAACATTTTATTACAGATCATTCCAAACTTTTCTCTGCACATACACAAAAATAGATGTAACAGATTTTTTTTCTTTAGATTTTATTTATTTGAGAAAGAGAGGGGCAGAGGGAGAGAGAGAAGCAGGCTCCCTGCTCAGCAGGGAGCCCGACGCAGGAGCCCAATTCCAGGACCCTGGGATCGTGACCTGAGCCAAAGGCAGCTGCTTAACTAACTGAGCCACCCAGGCGCCCCTATATATAACAGATTTACAAAAATGGAAACATCCTATATATGCTTTGTAAATTGAACAACTGCTTTGTTCATTTAAAAATAATCTTTCCAGGCGCCTGGGTGGCTCAGTTGGTTACGCAACTGCCTTCAGCTCAGGTCATGATCCTGGAGTCCCAGGATCGAGTCCCACGTCGGGCTCCCTGCTCAGCGGGGGGTCTACTTCTCCCTCTGACCCTCCCCCATCTTGTGCTCTCTCTCTCTCTCATTCTCTCTCTCAAATAAATAAATAAAATCTTTAAAAAATAAAAATAAAAATAAAATATAATCTTTCCAGGGGCGCGTGGTGGCTCAGTCGGTTGAGTGGCTGGCTCTTGGTTTCAGCTTAGGTGGTGATCTCAGGGTTCAGAGATCAAGCCTGGCCTTTCTGCGCTCAGCAGGGAGTCTGCTTAAGATTTCCCCTCTCTCTCTCCCTCTGCTCCCCACCCCCAGGCAAGCTCTCCCTCTCTCTCTCTGAAATGAATAAATAAATCTTCTTTTAAAAATTAAAATAAATAAATAATAAATAATAAAAATAAAAATAATCTTTCCAGGGATTCCTGGCTGGCTGAGTTGGTGGAGCATGCAACTCTTGATCTCAGGGTTATGAGTTTGAGCTCCAGGTTGGATGTAGAGATTATTTAAAAATAAAATCTTAAAAAATAAAAAATAAAAATAATCTTTCCAGGTCAATAAATATAGACATCTGTCATTACTGGTAACTGCTGCATGGTATTTTTTTCTGGATATAAACTCTTCCCTTCATCAATAGTATCAACTATCGTTATTAACAATATTGTGAAAAATAAAAATCCTGGCACTTACATCTTTGTTTACCCGTCTATTTCCTTAAAGTCAATTCCAAGACATGAAATTTGGGGACAAAAACTATGCTGCACATCTTTACTTTTACTATAGGCTACATTTCCACACTCTCCCCCTGTACCAGCCGTACCAGCTTCTATCCCAATAACAAACACGTGCCTCTTCTCTACTCTCACCAACTCTCGGTATTAGCAATCTTTCAAATCTTTGCTAATCTAAAATATAAAAACGACCTCTCTGGTTGTTCTATTTTGCATTTCTTCAGTTACTAAGTAAACATTTTTTCACATATTTATTGGCCATTTATATTTTACCTTTTGTGAAATGCCTATTGGAGTTTTTGCCCAATTTTCCATAGGAATATTCTTTTTAAGATTTTATTTATTTGTTTGAGAGAGAGAGCTTGCACAAGAGCAGGGGGGCAGGGGCAGAGGGAGAGGGGGAAGCAGATTCCCTGCTGAGCAGGGAGCCCCACCACGACCACGCAGGTTCCATCTCAGGGCCCTGGGATCATGACCTGAGCCACCCAGGCGCCCCGGGAGTATTCTTCTTCTTACCAGTAAAAATATATTAGGTATATTCACTTCCTTACTGTCCTGTATGTTGCAAAATTTACCCTGTCATATGTCTTTTACCTTTAGGTTATGTTTTCCATATCTGTCTTTTCCTTTGTGATTTCTGGCTAAGAAAACATGAATGCCACTTCTTTTTCATGTGTGGGTCAGACCGTCCAGAGCCTGAGGGCTCCAAAAGCAGAAGCATCAGCTGAGATCATAGCCATTGAAACATGTGGACCCCAGTTCAGACAGCAGGGGTGGAAGCAAGCCACATGTCACCCACAAAGGTCCTTAAGCTTCTGTACACAGGACATGACAGTCAGCTCTGAGCAGTGGTTCTAAACCTTTCAGGCAATAGTGTGTATTGTCAACATCTTGGGTGGGTTTAAAGACACAAAATCAGGGCGCATGGGTGGATCAGTCAATTAAGCGTCTGCCTTCAGCTCAGGTCATGATCTCAGGGTCCTGGGATGGAGCCCCACGTCAGGCTCCCTGCTCAGCGGGGAGTCTGCTTCTCCCTCTCCCTCTGCCCCTTCCCTCATTTGTGCTCTCTCTCTCTCAAATAAATAAAATCTTTAAAAAAATAGTCAAAATTTTTGTCAAAAGGATAGAGAACACAGACTTAGCACTATATAATTTCCTCAATGAACATCAGCAACTGACTCTTAAGTGCCAAGCATTTTCCTAGGGCTGGGCACAAAAAAAACCCAGTTCCTGTCTGTCCTTTTGGAACTTAAGAGTCCAGTTGGGAAGACAGACATTAATCATAGAATCACAGGAAGAAAAAAAAAAGGAACACTCAGGTGTGCTACGTGCTCTCACTCAGAGACACACATGGTGCTGAGGAGGTGTGAGAGGTCAGAGAGGCGAGGGCAGATCAAGTTAAAAGGGAGAGAGCATCCCCAGCAAAAGAAGCAGATGGCACAAAGGCCTGCATCTTGTGGCCCATCTGAGAAATGGAAGGAAGGACAGGGAGGGATCCTGGGATTGATGACCGGGAGAAACTTCCCAAGACGTGAGGCTGAGAGGCTAAGGATTTCCATCTAAGAGCTAACAAGGTGTCTTCAGTGGGAGATCAGGGTGTGAGGGAGAAACAACTTGGTTAGGTGTGTGCTTTAAAGGACTGGTCTGGCCGAAGTGTGAATGAACTGGGGGAAGGGGACACGGGAAGGGGCAGAGACCTGTGAGGAGACCACTGTAAAAAGAAATTAGCAACAGCTTAGACTAGAATGACAGTGGCAGAGGGCCTGTGCACAAGTCACACGGATGCTGGAGAATAACGTCAGACTATCATAAACGTAATCAGATGGTGACTCCAGCTGAAGCTGTTGTCCCAGATGTAGCATCTTTACAGCACAGCCCATGGTCCTTGGCATGCAGCTTTAGCTCCTTTTTCGCCGTACCAATTTATAAAGATCACCAGAAATAGTTAGCTTTTACCTGGCAGGACACCTTCACAGTGTTGTCTCAGGGGAATGTCAATTCTCCCGCTCTACCATAATACCATGCAGACATCTTGATCGTCTTGACGTCCCACAAAACATCACACTAGTCCACTACACTGATGATGCTATGATGATGCCATCCAATGAGCAGGAAGTGACAAGTACTTTATTTATTTTTAGATTTTATTTATTTGAAAAAGAAAGAAGAGAAGAGAAACCGTGAGCAAGGGGAGGAACAGAGTGGGAGGGAGAGGGACAAGCAAACTCCTTGCTGAGTGTGGAGCCCTATGTGAGGCTCGATCCCAGAACCCCGAGATCACAACCCAAGCCCAAACCAAGAGTCAGACGATCAACCAACTGAGCCACCCAGGCGCCCTGTGACAAGTACTTTAGATGTCTTGGTAAGATAAAAGCAAACAACAGGGTGCGATTTAACCCTAAAACAATTCAGGGGCCTGCCACCTTAGAAGTCTCTG